CTGCAGGAGAGTAACAAGGTTAATCCAATTCACTAAAAAAACATATATCTAACCTAAAATAAGGTGCTCCACCTAATTTTATGATGTGCTCATGTAGTGTAGCATAAGTTCTCGTGTATAGGGAATTGCACGCACAAGCTCCTATTTGTAGCTAATATTGTGAGTATAACATCCTTTTTACATAGCTAATCTTGATTGTTGGTTGGAGCTTTGGCTACCAACCAAAGGATTGAGCTCAAAATGTTATGTGATTGTGTATGATTTTGCTTTAATTGACTCAAATTTCTTAAAAAAAAACCTCTGTTGTCTTTTTTTTTTTTTGAGGGGGGGGGGGGGGAATTTGGAGCCTAAGCCCTTGTATTACTATGAAAAAGAGGAATCATACAAGTAAAAAATAACAGGAAAGAAAAACAATAAAAAATTTACAAAACAGCTAAAAGAGAAAAAATTTGAGCTTGTATAGGAACACTAAGACTTAACAAAAAAAAGACTCAAAAATCTATAACCACACAAATCACCCAATGGTAACTGGTAAGAGGCCAAAACTGGGTAACAGAGCCAAAAAAACATCTTCGGCACTCATGAGAATCATGAAGCCTAAAAACCTGTTGACTTCTTTTGGTATGGCTGAACATGATGTGACAGAAAGTGATATTCATAATTGCCGTTCATCATATTAAACATCAGGTTAAAAAACTTATTTTTCAAGCCATTTGGCACCTCACGTTTTCTGTTTCTTCCCTAACTCCCAAATCATGGTGGCTTTGAGAGGTGACGGCTCCCTCCCGTCGGTTGCATTTGCTAAAGCCTCGTCCGTTGCAGGCGGCCAGGTCCTCCTTTCGCCCCGCCTTTTGCCAGTTTCTCCCAGTGGCGGAGCACTTGCCACATTGCGGGCCAGCTTCTCCTCTACAGGGCCAGCTTGTGCTTTACACGAAGCCCGGATGCTGTCTCTGTGGTATTCAGCAAATAATAAAGAAAACTTAGCCAACAAACCATTACCAATAAGCAGTGCTTACACGTGTAATAGCCGTAGGCTCTCACAGCCCACAGCGTTCTGCGTATAAACTGTATCACATAGGAGGTTGTTTTGTAACACCATTTTGAAGAAATTATCAAATTGAAAAATCAGATTAATAATCTAAACTCTTTCTTGCGTTTCTTGAATTGCCGGCTCCACAGCCAAGGCAATTTTTCATGGTATCAGAGCAGCGCGTCTGAGAACTGAGATTTTTTTTTTCTTTCTCTTGTCCCGCTTTATCACTTCTCTCAGCAAATGGCTGGATCATCAAACGTCCTCCCTACGGTGGATTCCGCTACAGCAGCTTCTTTCAAATTCAACTTCTCTCCCTCAACTTAATTCTTGATTGAGCAACATCAAGAATCTAGTCTCCACTCTTCACTGACAGCACCAACTAACCGCGATTTGGAGATCTCAAGGTTGTTCAAGATCATTCAGTGCAAATGGATTCAACGGTTCTTGGATGGTTCGCTTCCCGCTCCAAACCCTTCTGCAGTCCAGTTCTTCAAATGTGGACGACACAGCTCAAGCTCAATGGGATCTGACAGATCAGAACCTAGCAGCCGCTTTATATTCGGTAATTTCACCGACTATTCTCCGTTATGTGCTTTCTTTAACTCACACCGGCGCAGAAATCTGGGAGACACTCGCAGCTCCGGCTACAATCCACGACAAGATCTCAGGCGTTATAATTCCCAACTGAAAAAACCGATTTTACGACCCATCTTTTGGTTAAGGGGTGGGGGGGATAAGATTCAAATTGAAAACCCGATTACCTTGTTGGATATAATCAAAAGTCGACATGATCGCTGCGCCGCCTAATATCGACCGCAGAAGACTTATCATACATACACTTCAACGGGCTTGCGCGAGCACGCTACCAGCCTTCAAGACGGGCCCTCAGGACAATCTGAATCTATTGTCTTTGATGAATTATTAGCCTTCTATAGCAAGAGGACAAAGTATTCTTCAAAGATTCAACCAAAGATCCTTCAAAAATCTTCCAAAATTAATGATTCGAACCCATGGCTTAGCTGCTTATCGAGGCAGAGAGTCGGAACAATAATGATCGCGGACGAGTGGTCGTGGACAGCGATTGTCACAACCGCGCACAGAAAAATCGGCAGCAAGAGAAACTGTATGTCAAATATGCATTTGAAAACAGGCATTCCGCCATTAAGTTGCTGGTATCGTGGCGGGACTTCTCGTACAACCGAAGATTCACAAGAAAACTGCTTGTTCCTTCGTCTGAAACGCAAATCATGCTGAACTGTACCTTGATGAGTGGCATCTACTATCTAACGTCTGATCAACTCATCTTCCACTACCGAGCCTTACACGGTTCAGCTCAGTTGTTCTCGGTAATGGACAGCAAGTACCAATTCAAATACAGGGCAAAGGAAACTTCCTACACCTTCAAAAGGTAACCCAATCTTCAAAATATACATCATGTGCCAAATCTTTCGTTTAATACTCCTTTCATCCATTCAGTTAACTCATGATAACAATCGATTGTCTCCTCTCCTCCAATGAACAAAAATAAAGACATGAAGAGCAATCGTCTACTCTCATGCGTCCATGCCATAACGGAACATATATTCATTCGTTCAACCAAACATCTGAAGATCTTGCACTTCTCTCTATCCAAACCGTACCCAACTTGTGGCATTCTAGGCTCGGCATTCCAGCTACAGCCACCTTGAGTCGTCTGTCTGTTTAGCAAACAGCTATATACACAATAAATCACCGAATCATTTGTTACTACATGTACAGTTAGCCAAAGTAAGCAACGTGTTGCTTTCCTACTTCTGTAACTACCCACTACTAGATTGTTTGAATTTACTGCATTCAGATTTATTGGGGGCCCTTCACACACTACAATCAATGCAAGGCTTCGCTACCTTTGTCACCTTATTGACGAACTATTCT